TGTACTATCGTAGCAATAATAATAATAATGAGTTTATTTATTAAGGTATCAACCCATTTATCTCTAGTACATTTTGCATCTAAGATAACGAATCATTTAAGTGTTAAGTATATACTATTATATAATTACAAATTCAACTCTATTATTAGTTAAAATATCGTACTCGAAATATTTGTTTATAACCTAGAGCGTCCGATGCATCCCCTGCCAGTGTTTAAAAAACATTATTCTCAGGAGACACCTGACCAACGACCTTAACTAATTCATTTGTTGAGTTACGTACAGTTTCCCAGAAACTGTGTACAGCAATGCCCGCTGTGTACGTTTCGTGAAGCAAACCCAGTGTCGATTAAACAAACACAGTTATTGTTTAATTTCCTATGAAACCCATAATAATTCTAAGGATAATTTGGCGGAAATATACCGCTGAATTTAAGTAGAATTCATAGTGACCTTTTCACGATATTATTTAAATTATACAACGATAGTACGAAATTCCGAATTATTCGACTACGTTTTAGTTGTAAGATGTCAGATGAAGCTTCCCTAAATATTCTTTGATATAAGTATTATAAACGGGACTAATTAAAATCCATAATTTTACTAAGTCATAAACTAAATGAATTTATCGATAACGTTTTTTGTTTCGCTAATGGCACATCGATAGGTGTCCATGGAATTGAAAAACGATAACAACCTTGTGGAAGAAAGAAGGTGAAAATAAATATAGCTATCTTATTTTGAACCATCACGTTCAACGTCATTTCTATAAAGAGTTCAGCTATAAACATTTTGTTGTTATTTTAGGACTCCCTCTATGCTAGTTATTACTCTGAGCTACTGCCTCATTAATTATCAACGACGAACCGATAAAATCCATAGAATACTATAATACATACATGAATAAAATCTGCCAAAGAAGAAGAAAGAAGAAGTTTGTCAGATTTGATATAGATGAAAATAATAATAGCCCGCAATTAACATAAATAGTACGTATTAAGGGTTTGTGTAAAGCACAAAACGGAAACTATAAATTATACCACTAATTACAAAAATTTCACAACTAGAATCAACATAAATAAAATTTTTTTTTGGCCTTTATCGTTGGATAATAGAAACCAACTAAGAATTTTTCATAATTGTTGTTAAAGAACAATGTACAAAAATATTTTTCACTGAATAAAATTGTATTGTCACTGTTGCATTAACTTCGAATATTTAAAAAAAAATAACTAAATTCAATCGCAGGGAACTACACGACCAAAAAGTTCGCAAAATTACTAACTTTGAAAAGCATTTTGAAACATTCTTTTAGTTAGAAAAACCTAAAAGAAAAGATAGCATACAGATATATATCAGAGGCCAAGTCATCGACTTTGAAAGGTACAAAAACCACATGCAGAGATTTTGTAAGACATTTTGCATTAACTAGAAATCAAAGTACTCATTTATAAAATCAGATGACCTCTATTAATATCAACATCGATTGATGTAATTATAGTGATAGTCAATTTTTGACGCAATACACAGATTCAATCTAGGGCCAAAATAAGATATTATTTATTATTAAATCTTCGGCTGTAGTGTTCTTTCAAAACTCCATACGAGATTTCTTTGAAACTTATCGCCTATATATTCTCCATATACCATCATCTCTACACTGTACTTATATTACATATATCTATTCTTCAATTTACATTATACAAGAAAAAAGAAAGTAATTTATATTTATGCATGTAATTTTTTTTTAAAATATGTAACTAGAGTATTCATTATCCATTGAAATAAAAGCAATTGCCGAATCATGAAGTATTATCCAAATACATGAGCTATATGCATACTACTTTTACTACAGGAGTGTAAGGGGAATATGTACATTTTGCTGATTAGACTGAAGACGCTCTGGCATCAACGCCCAATGGCAGAAAATCCAACCAAAAACGCCAAACCCATTTTCCAGAAATTAGTAATCAATATTAACAATGCAAGCCCGCTTCATTCGTGGCATTGAATATACAACTTTGTTGTGTGCATTTTTATCTATAATATATCATCAAAGGTCTCGTTTAAGTACACTGTATGTGGGCTAAAAGAGACTGAAGATGGTGATACTGGCGGCAAAATACATTATTGGATAATAATATTGGCGGTTACATATGGATTTTAAACGTGCTAAAGTTATCATAGGTGAAAACTAAGAGAATAAAGATAAATAAAAAATAAAAAGAGAATCATGATGAACCACAAGCGTTTAGACATACTTTTAATAGTAACCAAAAATACACATGTAGGTGAAAATGCAATTACTCTATGTAGCTATGTAGTTCTAGTTAATGCCTACATATAATACTAGATTATAACGGTTTGTCGGTCAGATTGTAACATTTAATGATGATGATAGTTCCTTCGTTGAATCAATCTTAACGGAACAAACGCAATATAATATATAACATTTTTAACCGTTGCCACAATCGTACCAAAGCGCTCATTCTTCATTTCGCGAATCTGGAATAGCCGTGACATAATTCATTACATCAACTTGATATTGTATTTTGGTCTGTTGCATTATCATTTAAGCGGATACTTTGAAGACAAAGTCATTAAAGTATAATTATAAACAATATTATGTGAAAGAATGAAATACACATTTTACCACATCATATCCATGTATTGTCGACGCGTGGTATAAGTACGCAATATTATTTCTGTTTATTTCCCTTATATAAGCAAAGGTGACTTAACAAGCACAGTTTTTCTGATGGTAAGTGGATACTGTAAAAACCATAGACTGATATCCGCGATAAGAATTAAAATACGAACGTTTTATTACCCACAAGAACATAGACGGAAAGCCTCATTACAAAAAAAAAATACTCAAGTTCTCGTCACTATACGGAACTCGCAGCGTTATGCTATTATTTTACCTTGGTATTCTATGAACGCTTAGTCCTATCTAAAGTTGTTCAAAACGACTATAAGTCAATAGCACGCTACAGACTATAAACTATAAATTTCTAGCGCGCTATTAAATACGCTATGTTATACCGCGCTATTTATAAGAAAGCGTGTAAGAGGCCGGCAAGCGCGTTAAGTTTTGCAGCACGTTATATCTCTTAGCACGTTACATTACATGTCGTTCATTGAATCGATCGCGTGCTATATAAGAACATTATTTCGTAATAAGTCACATTTTAGACTAAAATGAAATAAAGCGGTAAAGAAAAACCAATGCATGCTTTTTCATACTTTTCAGACTTACTACTTTCTATAATCCTAAAAATATTTTAAAGTCATGTACTTTTTAAAATAGAATTAATTTTATTTTTAGAATCGAAATAAAATAAATTATTTTTTATTATAATTGATGTAAACATTATTTTAAACTTAATATAAATTATAAATCAAATAAAGGTGTATTTAAAAGTTTATTTATTATATTTATAAAAATCAATTATTTATATACACTACTATATACACTTTTGTATCTATATTTTATTTTGAAATAATACTAATTTTTACGGAATTTATCGCGTGTATTTAACTTTTTTAATTACCCGACGTTTCGAACGCTTTACAGCACTCATGGTCACGGGCAGGACTGAGATGTTCAACGTCCATATGTCATAGTTAACCGCGGTTACCATAGATTAAAATTTAACTTTTGTTCCGATCTATGCAGTATGAACTTATGGTATCTTGAAGTCTTGCAGTTGTATGCTTGGGTTGGAATTTAATTTTATTTATTATAGGATCCCAAGCAGATGGTAGCACCCAGCCATCTTCTCTATTGAAATTAGGATGTTTTTTGATTTCAATAGCCTCGCGAATCATCCTTGGAAGGAATCGGTGTTCTTTAGCGAGGATCTGCGGTCTATCAAATCTGATGTAGTGACGGGGGCGATCCTGTACGTGTTCACAGACTGCAGACTTCCCGGAGCGTCGATTCTTCACATCAGCTATATGTTCTTTAACGCGGGTTTTTATTGATCTTTTAGTTTGTCCTATGTAGGAGAGACCACATTCACAATCAAGCTTGTACACTCCTGCATGCAGGACAAACAAAAAGAAGCCTAACTTCTTTTATCACAACTGTGTCCTTTGATCATTTATAAATATACAGTATACACTAACTAAACAACGTCTAACATTAAATTAGGTCGCGCGCGATGAATAGCAAGCTACGAGATCAAATTTGCGTCACACGTCCTCTCCCAACAGCGCTGCTGCTAGAACTAACGGCCGCTAGATATTAATAGTTAATAGCGCCAAAGCGCCATAGCGCAATAGCGCCATGGCGACTACTTACATAACATGAGCTATGTGTTATGAAGAGATAGCTCGCTATAATATGGCGCTATGCGCTATATTAACCACCATTAGTCCTATACCTATCACACTGAACCACTCGAGTTGCAGCAATCATATAAAAGCTACAAGGTTTTTGTATTATGCATTAAATATTGTGTCGAAATTGGTCGCCAAAGCACGAAACTCTTTTAGCAACCAAAGGAATGGTATTCCTGAATACGTTACTATCGCTCCTCTTTTGTTTTGTTGTTCTCTTTTCTTAGCTGCCATACGGTAGTTTTTTACAAACAGACAAATTAATCAACACTTTCTGTGCGTACGCTGCTTGAACGGTCACTTCCACGACTGATGTGACTGGCCAATTACTACTCAGAACAAGGGATTTACATTGACGGAATATTTTGGTAATTTCTTTTTTAAATTAAATTTAATACTTTTTTTTACAAATAATATTGCTCTACATAAGGTTTATTTTAATTTCAAACAAGTGAAAGTTTTTACATTTGACACCATCCGTAAAACTACATAAACTACAAGTCTAGATATCAACTTTAATAATTCACCCCAGCATAAATACCAGTATACAAAGCTGGAACTTGCCGCTACCTTAAAGACGATTTGCCCACCTTCAGTCTAGATGTTTAAGAGTGATATTTATGACACCAAAAAGCTATTTAGAAAAAAATACTCACTTGACATCATCGATTTTAGGATAGGTGCATATCCTGAGAGTTTTCGTATTGGATCCAACGGCATATAGTTTGCCGTTAGGGTGAAACTCGGCACATCGAACCGCCTGCAAATCTTCTAAGACAGTTACTGGTTTGAAGGTAGGTCTGGATCCGTTTATTTCCGCGCCGACAACCATACCAACGGTTGGCGATAGGGGCGTATTCTGATGACTCCCATTTCTAGTCTGCGTCTGTAAAAAAATAAAATTATTACACCCCTTTTTGACTTGCAGCCCAAACCATAACATTTTACGGAGATATGCGCGGCGACAAAATTTTGCTAATTAATGAAATGTTATTACTGAAACAGTTCATTGCTGTACCTGCAAGTGCACTTTAACAGAAAAAAAATAGAAAATTAAGTCAAGGGTTCATTATTATCATAACTATCTTAGCAAAATCAATTATACGCCCGTATTTTGGAATTACTAAAAAAATCATTTAATTTAGTATTTTTCTCACTACCTACTTCATGGGAAAGTAATTTTTCCGGTTTCAAGCCCTTAAAAGTTTGAAGAGAAAGCTGCAATTATTCACAAATAAAAGTATTTTCATATCGAAACATACGCCTTGTTTTACCAATCCTGTTGAATCAAAATAATATGTAAGCATTCGGTTCCTGAGCCGTTTCAGAAAAAAGAGAGAATATCTAGGTCTCATTTCTGTGATAATTGTGCTGTTAGCCTTTTGGCTTTTACAGCTCAATCGGTCTCAAAGCTCGTGGCTAAAATGCAGGAGAGAATATGACGTGAGAAAAGAGTTGTGACGTTACCCACGTACGACGTACGTACTTTGTACTAATGATGAAGGATTAAATGTAAACGTCTTATGAGTAGGTTATTGACTTGGTGTAGTATTTTCTAATACTACGCCAATAAAATTATGCAAGTTTTTGTATCAATACAAACCTGGATAATATTGTGATATATAAATAACAAAAAAATCCGGCAGTGTCATTATCACTAGTAGCATCTGGTAGTAATAAAATATTGGTGTATATTCCTATATGATTTATTTTCTATTAAATTAATTTAATTGCATGCAATTTAATTACGACGTAATCCATTATTACATTATTTTTGTTGTTATTGCTTAACAGCAGGAAATAACATTATGAAAACAAAAGTTTTCATAATGTTATTTCCTGCTGTTAAGCAATTATATAAGAAGGAATATACGAAAATCTAACATATGGCCTTTGGTAAATGCGGAAATCGTCGCCGAGTACCGGACAAACTTGTGTCTGAAGTCGAGTCTTTACTTAACAAAGTCTCGGATTGGGGCGACTAAATCTAGTCCCCAGAAGACACAAGTTTGTGCGTTTACTGCTAAAAAACCCCTTTGTCGCATCTCCTCAGTTTCAAGGCACTCTCCTTGCTGCCTCAGCTAGCATCGGAATACTCGGCGTTGACATAGCGAATAGTATGCAGTTTCGTAGTCACTTGGGGAAGAAGGCCAAATTGGCCTCTAAAAAGCTCGGCGTGCTCAGCAGAGCGAGACAGTATTTCATGCAGGCACATCGTTTGCAACTTTACAAAGCGCAAGTTCGGCGGCAAGCAAAAGCGGCAAGTTTTAAGGTCAGAATTAAAATAATTAAAGGTAAAACTAATATATAATATTCCTAAAATTATATTCCAAACATTGTTTTCTTGGTTCCTAAAATGGCGACAATTTTCTAAACGGATAAAACAGTATTTCAAGGGTTTTATAGTCTTAGTAGCTGTACTAATTATGTTATAGAGTCTACCATGCAGCCTTTGATTTTTAATTCGTTGTATAATATAATATTTTATTACTTATGCTGTATAGCAGTTTTTAAACATAACATATACTCTTTAGAGATGCGTGTAAAAGATGAAAAATCTTGTCTTGAGAACAGTGTTGGTTAACTTTTATTTAGATTAAACATGATTTTCTAACTGCACCAAATTTTTTTCTTTTTCCCAGATATTGATAACAAATTAATTTTTTTGACTAGCACAATATAACCACGCAATGCATACAAAATGGCGACATTCTATCAGTTATACAGATTTAAATTGTACTATGGCTGTTATTTGTTTTTTCAGTTTTATTTTACTCTCATAGACAGAAGTCATAAAACTACTGTAGTATTTACAAGAGTATAAAATTACTCTATAAAAATAAGTTAAGTGAAATTCGCATACACCATTGTTCAAAAATAATACTCGAGTGATAATACTATAATAACAATTAGAGTGAGCAAGTGACATTGTATAAGCAAGACATGTGTATAAGCATGCAAAAAATAGCTTCTTTGCAGCTTTAATGATATAATAAGATTCTAATGTTACAAAATACGTAAAGTTGTGTAATAGATTTAATATACTGATTAGGAACCCTAATTTTACCTAGATCCGATAATACAGACATTATACAACTTGATTTTTATTATTACTGTTTTTTAATATGATTCTATTTTTAATCAATATTATTACTAATATTTATCTCTACTTGGTTTAAAACCGTAAACAGAGTTTTTGTCTGTTTGTCTATGCGATTGTGTGAATCAATTTGAATGTAGTTTTCAGTGAAAAATTATTACTTACTCGTTTATGTCCATTTTAAAATGCGTCCGTAGGCGCCTGTCTCATAGTCAGGTGTAAAATTAATAGGACGATTAGGTGATAATGATACAGGCTTATAAAATCGCAGACATTGTATGAACATTATTTAGAAGGGCTTGCATTAAAGATTCAGACAACTATATATATTCTAAGTTTTAGTCGCATTGTTGCTTTGACTTACTGTATCATAAAATGTCCAAATAAATATTAAAGTTGGCTCTACATAATAAAAAACTTTAAACCGAGTTAGGGCTGGCGCCCACTGCCGCGGTACGTACGGAATTTGTGTAAGGATGCAGTAGACTGCATCCCTACACAAATTCCGTACGTACCGCGTTCCTTTGTTCCGTCCCACCAGGGGACGTCGGCCTTGATCATTCGCATAAACACCTAGCGCACGGGCTCCCGCGGCAGCCTCGGTGTGCGGCTGGCGAGCGAAGGCTCGCGAGGCAGCCTCAGCAGTTTTGTCCGGAACTCCGAGGCATGCCTCGCGAAGCAGGCCGAGCCACCATAAATCATCTAAACGAAAACAGTCAAGTTTTAATAAAAGACCTAGACGCGTCTGGATTAGAAAAATTTATGAGCGTCGCAACCAACATGGAAATAAATTACATAAAAATTTAACATATGATCAGATTGTATATAATTTTACACGAATGTCCCTACAAGAATTTGAAAATTTGTGTTCATTGTTGTCTGATAAAATCAAAAAGTGCGACACAAAATATAAAGAGGCAATCACTGTAAATGAACGAGTTTTAATAACTTTAAGATTTTTAGCAACCGGAGATTCTTATAGCAGCTTGCAACATTTATTTCGAGTATCGAATCAAAGTATCTCTAGTATAATTCCAAAAGTTTCTGACGCTATTATTGAGGCCTTGAGTGGTTATGTAAAGGTAAAATAAAAGTTAATTTAAAAATCAATGTATATTTTAATTACAATTCATTGATATATTTCGAATCTACGAGGGGTGATCCAAAAGTAATGATAATGAAAATAAAACACGGTAATTAAAGTTAAAATAATAATTTATTTTTCTACATCAGACATTATTAGTCTCCTAACAAATCAATACATTTAGTCCATCTTTTTTCTAAACCCAGGATTCCCTTTGAAAAAAATTCTTTGTCTTGACCCTCCCAAAACGCTTCAACAGCGGCCATTACTTCGCTATCGTCTTCGAATTTCTTGCCTTGGAGGCGTTCCTTGAGCCGAGGAAAGAGGTAGAAGTCACTAGGAGCTAGATCTGGCGAATAGGGAGGGTGTTCGAGCAGTTCGAATCCCGTTTCTTGAATGGCAGCCATCGCAACTGCGGCTTTGTGAGCCGGTGCGTTGTCTTGGTGAAACAGCACTCCAGCTCGCAGTTTGCCGCGTCTTTTCTCCTTAATGGCCTCCCGTAATCTTCTTATTTGATCTGCGTAGTAATAGCCCGTAATAGTGGCTCCCTTTTCCAAATATTCCACCATAATTATGCCATAACCTTTCCCGCCGAACTTGAAACTTTGAATTTCTTTGGCGTCGGAGAGGAGGCTCGCTTCCAAGTCATCGATTGTTGTTCGTTTCGGGATCAAAATGGTGGATCCAGGTCTCGTTCATAGTCACAAAACGGAACAAAAAATTTTCTTGATCTGCTTGAAACTTTTCGAAATGTCAACTCGATTTTTCTTTTGCTCGTCAGTTAACATTCTGGGTACCCAACGCGCAGAGACCTTTTTCATATGCAACTCGTTCGCAAGGATTCTTTGAACGCTGCCATATGAGATCCCTGTGACCTCAGCTACATGTCTGATGGTCACTCTTCGATCTGCCAACACAACATCTTCGACTTTTTTTACGTTGTCTTCAGTGAGGGACGTGGATGGGCGTCCTTCGCGATGTTCATCTTCAGTGGATATTCTGCCCAGTTTAAACTCCTTGGCCCAGCGTGCAATTGTAGAATATGGAGGAGCAGAGTCCCCCAATATTTCCACTAAGTCACTGTGTATGTCTTTTGAAGACATTTTTTTCAAACAGAGGTACTTGATGACAGCTCTAATTTCGTTTTTCTCCGTGTTGATGTTATCACTTTGACAGTTTGTATTCAAATGAATGTATCTCCCGGAAATCGTGATCTATTTATATGATTTTTTTAGGCTGACGTAGTGAGTTTATAAGCAAGCAAAAAATATTTTTTTTGGATTTTTATGCGGACCTGAAGTAACCTATTATCATTATTTTTGGATCACCCCTCGTATTATATTATATTATTACAGTGACTTTACAATAAAACTAAAACAAACACTATTTTATCCTTTGAGCACGTCCAGTTTAGCTCGGGGTCGATCGGCGCTCGGCCGAGGGAACGTGCGCCCGAGGCACGTCCACAGCAGCAGAGGCATTTGGCTCGCGAGGCTTCCGCACGAACCCGTGCGCTAGGTGTGTGTGTGTGTGTACGCGACAATTACCAATAATTTAATGACGTCATTGAACGGATTTTATCGCGTTTAATTTACTTGTTTTTAATTCCCTATGTTTCCGATGCTTTAAAGCATATTTGACGTCCGGATGTCATAGTTAATGCAACTACCTTCAGTTTTTGAATATTCATTTTTGGTTCGATCTACACAGAGCGTAGTCTTGCAGTGGTTTGCTTGGATTTAATTTTCCGATTCCTACCAAGGATGATACGCGAGGCTATTGAAAGAAGATGGATGGGTGTTGTCATCTGCTAAAGATCCTATTATAATTAACAAAATTAAATCCAAATCCAAGCACAAATATGACAGGTATAGGCAAATATTGAAAAAAGTTAATTGTATATCATTATCATATTATTTACAATTGAATATAATTTAAAGTGTTCAATATATTTACACTAAAAGCTATAAAGATTTAAAATCAACGTAAATGTAAATATTATTCCAAAATGTTTAGATTTGAGAGCTTCGCGATGGCGAAATTTAGCGGCTAGAATTAGTCCGATCACAAATTAGTTTGACATTTGAGTTGATTTGTCGAGCACATTCTGAGACCCTATAGTAATGATAGTAGTCAAATACAGGTGTTAACATGTCAGTGAAATTTGGTCCAATACACCTCGAGTTAACCCTATACCTCTTTAAGCACAAAATATGCAAGGAGCTTGACGTATCGACCGTGTTCCTATTTGGTACTGTGATTGTTAGGCCGTCTTAGTGGTCGTGGCAGTTATATATATGTATATATGAAACAATATCCTCTAGAGCGAATTTCGGTGACGGCGGCCAGCCTCTACGGATACTAGCCATCGGTGCAGGGCAAGATTATAGTGCCCAAGTGTATGCGCAAGCACAAGTGCACTCTCTATTCCCTCCCTCTCGTAATTCGATGGGACGGTAAACCGACACGACTGGAGAGAGATCAGGCGAAGGACCAACGAATTTACGTGCTTTCCGAGACACGGGGGTGAAACACAACCAAATTCCTGACTCCAGGCAGCTACTGCGAATTTCTTGACGGAAAAACTCAATAATTGAGTTTTGGCCGCCCCGGAATTCGAACCCAGGACCCTCATGATTAGCTGTCACAGTACTATAACCACTAGACCAACGAGGCACGAGGCAACGAGCATATATATCTCACATCCACAAATGACATGAGAAAATAGAAGAAAAACTTAACGAACCTGGTAAGACAAAACCATTTTAGTAAAATACCATTGAAACTAGGTATGACATACCATTTTATGTAAATAAGTATGCAGTTTCATGGCAGACAACGTATTTATTGAGAGTGTTTTATAAATTATAATAACTTTGTTTCTTTAAAATACAAAATTCTCAAAATGCAACATTAATGCATTAAGAAAATATCATGTACCACTGACAGTTTGTCTGGTTCATATTCTATAATCTTTCCTATCGTTTCCTATAGATTCTTTACTTTTAATTACTTTATACATATTGTTAATTAAATAGTTGCAAAGCATACGATATCCGAGCCATATATTCACAATAAAAGCACATAAGTAAAAGCTTCGTAATTATGGCAATACGAACCATTTCAACGAAAGCATGCCCAGTATAAGTAACATGTTTTCACACTATTAAGACATACATAAACATTTATTATAGTTATCCGTCTGTCTGTCCACGCTAATCTTCAGAAAGGCTGAGACGGTTGTGATTAAACTTAACAAACAGATAGAAAGCAATGCCAGGAGGGATCTACGTTATACTATTTTCGAAACTCTTAAAATTTTTCTCTCTTACCCGTAACTTACTCTTAACCCTTAAAAATTGATTCACGTCGCATAATATTGCCACCCTTCAATTTAGAAGAGGTTTAACTAAATTAGTTATCCCTACAACAGGAGAGGCCCTACGGATAGTGAATACGGGTAAACTAAAAATAGAGTTTATATTCTCGAAGTAGAAAGATATTCATATTTTTATTATTTAATAGTCAATTTATGTAGTAAATGACGTTTACCAGTGTCTTCATTCATTTTCATATCAAATATAAATCAAACAATTCGTATTTACGTTTAATTTAACACGTAAATCCATAAATGTGGTATACGCGAAATCGAGATCGTAAAACAAATAAATAAAGAAAGCGTATGACATCAGCAGAGGCCGGTTTTCGTTTAGAATGTGTTACTAGAGATGAAAATAAACGACATCATCTTACAATGACATACGAACGGTGTTCTTGAGTAAGATCCACTTCTAAGAGGCGAAAAACATATTATATTCAATTTGAATATCATACATAGCTTCTACTTAAACAACTCAGAAATATTTTATTTACATAAAAGGTGCTATAATCGTACAAGTAATGACATCATTTGTGAGATCGATATTTTAAAGCAACGAGTCACACTAAATTAAACAATTCATTTTGGAACATTCTCGATCAAAAGCAAACAGTCGTTTAGGTTATATTATAATATCCACAAATAGAAATAAAATTGAAATGATTGTCTGTAAAATTCAAATAACTGGCTTCTGTTAAACTTATGGGGTTATTTGAATGTTATTAGGACATAAATAACCATTTTTAAAATTGTTTTTATTTATGCGTGCTAATATACGCAATAGCTAAACCGCTTGTAACAGAACTTTACAAACAGAGACGGAGAGCGTTGTTTTCAGGTATCTAGGTTATATTTTAATTGAAAAACTTGATTTAAGAGCCTATACAACCTTAGTCCAAATTCTAATTTCACCCTCATTTCCCCGCGCGTCGTATGCTATCTACCTACATGTTTGTAATCACTAATACTGTAAGTAGATAGGTTGGTAGATACTTATTTCATTAGGTTTATCATATTTTCGCCTGTTTCTTTACGCCAACTCAATCGCTTTTTATTAAGTACGGTTATTTCCCATTTTCATTTTACGTCGTCCCGTTTCGTAATGTGTATTCTGAGCGCCCCGTTCGAAAGCCGATGAGGGGTTGAGGGGTTCGGCCGGCAGGGAACAAGCTTCAGGACGCCAATAGTTTAGGTAATTTCTTTTTACGGTGAAAATAATGGTAATAAACATAAGACATTATTTATAGTTAGTTCAGTTAGTATGCAAAGTTTACTTATCTAATTTGAAGTATTTTGAGAATACCAGCGGTTTATTGTTCGGTTTGGAGGTAACTTTGGATTTTTTTCTATCGAAAAAATTTTATGAAATTGTGTTTTCATCTAACATAGTACTTAACATTAATCATCAACTTAACCATATATTTATTTCAAAATGAATGCTGCAATATTTTCGGCATAACGGAGGATTATGCTAAGCCATTTGAGGTAGCATAGGCTATTAACAAGCGGTCTTTGATTATCTTAGATCTAAATAACGCCACATTAATAGATCCTATACAGACGAAGACGGAGCGGATGACTAGTATTATATAAGATGACAGTGAAGAGGCTGCAAAAATTTCTATAACTTTACTATTTATAACGGTACTTCACGAGTTGAGAGAACGTGCAAAGCAACTTGAGCCGTCTTCAAAAAAATAAAAATAAGGGGACCGGTTTTCTTAACATTGGTCGTATTAATTACGTAATAGTTGTCGAAGACTTACGTTTTTCGTCGTTGGGTATAAATCTTAATATAAAGTCATCAATTGCAAATCAATCGTGAACAAAACTGCCGCATTTATAGATTCTTAAAACTACTCATTTCATTAATACGGACATACATGTATATTATAATGGTTATGTACAAATTACAAATGGACTACAGAAAATATGACGCTTGGCATACGTAATTAAAAACATTACTACATGTATCGTGGTCTAGACATAGAGTGCTTAAAATATATTGTACATAATAAAATTATAAAGCATAACTAAGAAAATTAAAATAACATGATTCAAAAGACAGTCACACAGCTATCGAATTACGCAGTTTTGATAAGTATCATATTTGCTAGGCTTTTCGTGATAAAACACCCAACGACAGGTCTACTCGTAGAAGGTCGATTTCGGGACTTTCGTAGGACAATCTTAGTTTGCGTTAAGCACCGATAAAGCTGTAGTAGCAAGGGATCATATAACTCGAAGAACCGACAATTGATGCGGAAGAAAGGTTATCGAGTTGCACAGCCTTGTTTCGATAGGCTAAGTGTAGGGCGACCCCCACAAGAGAATGACGACTTAGTAAGACATGCATAAAGTCGATTAATGTAGGTGAATCAGGACCGTGCTTTGTGACATTCCTTGGAGGAAGCCTATGTTAAACAGTGTACTTGTGAACGGCTATAATGATGACGATGTATGCGCCCTGGAGTAACGACCTGATAAACGATGCAGGAAGTCGATGAATGCAAGTGGCTCAAGACCGTGTTTTGTGTCATTAGATCGTAGAAGCCAGCATTCCGCATAGCTACTTCTTACTGGCTGTAATAATGATGATAATATTGAATGTATCCTTTTGAAACTCCTGCGGACTTATAAAAAATCCTGGTTTCTTGATAGTATAAGGTTTATCTGTCACTAATATATAATAATGATTCATTAAAAATTTCAACTATATATAGTTTAAGCTCCTGACCATCAGTATAATATACAGTTTTGATACAAAAGTGAGTGAAGTGTTTAGGTGAAAACGATGTATCACGTAGTTTATTGACAACTTAGGTACTTCAAAATAGCGCTGTAGTATTTGGCCGCCTTTGTTTTTTTGCCCTGTTCACAAATCGAAACTTTATTACCCCCTTGGTACAAAATTCTCTACCAAACCATAATTGTAACCAATAGCGTTACGCTCATTTATGCTGCTCATCACAATGAGGTTACTTTACATAGTCCATTATTCATACGTCTCATAACGGTAGATCACTACAAGTAACATGTAATCTTCAAACGGTTTATATAAACACAGATAACAGACAGGAAACTGGTCGTACACAGAACTGGTTTTTAAACATCGCAATCCACCCACCTGTGTTAACTGATAAGAAAGTTCAATGGCGTAACATCACGTCTGTGAACTGTAAAGTGACATAATAGAAAAGCAAACCGCTTATTTTTTTATTTACATAAAACTTTGTAATATACACACATGGTATATAGGCGAACTCAATGCCTAGGGCATTCTCTACCAACCTACCTTGGGTTGATGCAGAGATAGAATGTAATTCATTCTAATGTGGTAAGGTAATGTAGTAAAAAGTTCATATAATAAGACTAAAGTAAAATAATTTTTAGTACGTGAAAATAAAATACATAAGATATATATATGATATGGCACGTCACAAAACATCTATAGGGCTTTAATACATTTATATTATATATATATATATATATATATATATATATAAAAATATATATATATATATATATATATATATATATATAAGATGTATGTAGATATAATAAAAAACATATCTACACTAAATATAGCATGTAAAGCCGTTGGTCCTAACCTTCAACAGCGCCCGGACGTCGTGTCGGATTTCCGTCCCATTGGACTATGAGAGTGATGTGCTATAACCTGTTTTGTGCAGGTGAGAATTCTATATCCGAGTCTCCGTTGAGAAAAGCCACTGTGACCGAAATTCGATCTGTAGGACATTATTATTGTACACAGTTCTATAATAACCTTTAAATCAGGTTTACTTAGTAAAGTGTTTATTATTTCAATCATTTTAGTCATGTGTAAAACTATATAAAAATGAAAAGCGTTTATTATCTTTGCATTTTAATATTTTGAGCCTTAGTTAAGATCTTCCTAAGATTATTTTAATAAACAAAGTGAAAATTATTTTTATCGTCCACGTGTTTTTTTTAAATGAAATTAAAGTGACAAGCGATCTTACTGTCCATCTAATGGTAGGTGCAACCTGTGCACACCTGTGACCTACTTCACATAAAGAAGGTTACGGATACCTTGTCTTTTCTGCGAAGTACCTAAAATGAATGGCTCCTAGCTTGTGATTATACTGACTCCCTGAACTTTTTTGATCGGGACATAGCAGCGTACACACTGTTGTTTGAGGGGAGAATAGGTACGTGGGATCTAGCCAGACGGACTTTTAGAAAAAGAATAGGAAGTATATTACTAATACCACGTAGTGATATTATTCAGGGTAGCAAAACCGGAACGGTACAGACCAGAGGCTAGGATTTTCTAATAAATGCACGATGCTCTTTACCTTTACCCGACTACTGGGAAAATAATGTTTTTCTAATGAATATGTATCATTTATACGTATGCATAGTATGTTTTGCGTTTATTTACAAATATTGACTGTACAAAATTTTAATCTAGATTAATGACTCAATAACCAAGTAGTTTACGACAGAATAATGTTAGTCATTCAACGATACAAATTAGAGTAACAATACTCTTCATTGTGCAGCTAGAAAAGATTATACGTGGTAGAAATATGCTGCAATTATATTAGTATTATAGTTGTAGCACGAAGGGGTCGACTGTGCCGTAAATGTCAGCGTAAAATAATAGCTTAATGCTGCTGTTTGTATGGTGAGTGTAGAGAACCGGAGATCCTATTTACTGGAAACGAGGCATTCCATCTTAGTCGTCACGGGTGTCAACGCATCTGCATTTTGATTCGTAATCGAAGATAGACGTGGATGTCTATGGGCCATAGAAACTACTTGCCATCAGGTGGACTGTATGCTCGTTTGGTACCCTATTCTATAAAAAAAATGTAACAAAATGTAGCTACAAATATCAAGGGAAACAAGGCGTTCTTATTGTTACATATTAATTTCTTCAAGATAACCCAAAAAATAACTGAGTAAAAGGATGAGAAAGGTTAATGGAAAGAATGTGCTATAGTATAATAACAAAGGATAACAACTTATGCAATAATTAATATCCATAAAAATTAAAACATAATGAAGACATAAATGTTAGTATCCGAATACAGATGATAATGATTAATAAATTTCGATAATGATTCGACTTCTCGTCGGTTTTGCAAACGTGCACATCCGGCTCGACTCAGTGTTGCAATAGAAAGTGTACTTTAATTTTAATGCCGTCTCACTGCACCGACACGAGTTTTTCTTATACCATTGCACCGTTTGTGTTAATAAAAAATATATGCGTTACGATTACAACCACTCGAAAGCATTACTTCTACATACTTAAATAAAAATTGCCAAGCAATCGGAGTCCTAGAGGACTTAGAGTCTCTTGTACTTTACTATTTCGCAAGAAAACTAAGGAAGTGGCCAAAAATTGTATGAACATGTGCCCCAGACTGTACAGAGATGAAATCTATGTCATTTGAAAGCTCAGATCTTCTATATAAAGAATTAGAAAAGTGCATGTAGCTACGCAGTAGTGGACAAAAGTTATGAAGATTTAAAAAAGCTGATTTTGACAGTCGGTTTTTATCATTATTACACAATGTAGATATTAATAAAGTTCCAATTCATGAGTGTTATGTAGGTTATTGTATATGCATGATGATTAGGATGTATCCTAACTGGTTTAACTAAAAAAACAAGGACAACATTTTTTTTCAGTCTTTGAAATTATTATTTGTAACAAGTTTTTGTAACGTAACTATTATTGATCGAAGTATATTAGACAAAAAATAATTAAACTTACGTATTACACTGTTTATAATTAGTGGAGCATGGAGCTATGGCACTTATTAAATAAAAGTGAAATACGATAAAACACAAATACGAAGGAAAGCATATATATATCATATACCGAGAAGCGCCGCTTAAGTCGGTAAACGTGAATCAGATCAAGTCTGACATTGACACTTTGACCGTTTTGTTGCTTGACGGACGGATTCAGTGTTGCAAATACTAAAGTAAAATAACCCTATCCTATAATGTAACGCTACATGTTTAAACAGTTGCGGTATTAAACAAAGTACCTGGATGACCGAGCTTTGCTCGGTTTTAATTAAAAATAATTATGCAATTAGTTTAATTAAAATTTTCGTATTTTTAAAAAATACTAAAAAAAGGGGCTCGAAATAATAGGTTTTCTCACAAAAGAAGTGAACTTGAAAAAAAAGGAAAAAAAATCGGACCGAAGACAGGACGCGAACCAAGAAATTACGGATTCACGACTGCTCGCTATCCACTTGAGCTATTGCGACCATTAACACAATGTCAAAATTTACCTTCTTATATTGTAGCAGTTTTTCACTGTCTGAAAACACAGACAAAAAGACATTTTCTAAAAATAAATCTCAACTGCCCCCAACCCCCACAAATCAACACAGAAAGGATATAACTATATTATAGTCACAGAAAGGCATATGACTTACCGCAGTCTTGTAAAATCCGAGTTAGTCCAATGTTGGTTTCTTGGCTATAAACAGTAGACTTGTTTATTTTGTTTAATGTTTATTTGTATCTATTGTTAAATATATTATATCTGTTAGTATTCGAGGATACAACTTTTTATAATTACATCGAAACTCTAAAGCTCTGAATGCAGCCAATATGGCTCGAGACGTGTAAAAGCTTTTTAATACAGCCTAATACCTTCATTAAGTCTTGAATAATAATTAAGTAACGGATGCAACAAACTGTGTCAGATTGTTATTGAACCTACTTAAGCCAAACAAAAGCGAGATTGAGAAATTGCTTTACGCTTTCATTATTACACAAGTACAACATTAACTATCCACGATATCGTTATTATAATTCGATTTCGAATAGTTGTTGTATAACATCCGACGCCAATCAAATAGATATTCGAAATAACGTATTTACAAGAATTAAGCTGGTAATACATTAGTAATTAATCAGTACTAAAGGAAACATTTTTAGTGAATTACCTGTTCCCTGTTATGGAGCTAAAAGTTTTTAACACAGGATTTAGGTAATTGACTTTATACTATAATTAATAAAATCAACACCAAATCACGTCATAACGTGAGTTAACATGAGATACGTTATTACCATGCAAATTCTATCATTATGAAAAGATTAATTTCCTTTTACATTTTGACAAGTCTTTTCTTAAAGACTACATTGTCATGTATTATAAATTAATGATTTATGTGTGCTTCATTTTGATGGTAAAGAATATAATTTGACAACAAAATGTTCAAAAGGAATTTGGCAATGTTTCAGAGCATCTTGAGATATGGTCTGATTGCACCTTAACACGTATATTACTCGTGTGTATGTGTGCCATTTTCTTTTACTACTACTAGTACTTAAGGGGAAATATAACCTCAAATGGCTTAGCAAGATCCTCCGTTATGCCGAAAGTATTGCAGCATTAATTTTGAAATAAATATATGGTAAAGTTGAGGATTAATGTTAAGGTTTATGTTAGACGAAAACACGATTCCGTAAAATTTTCTCGATAGAAAAAAAAACCAAAGTTACCTCCAAAGTGAACAATAAAACGCTGTTATTCATAAAATACTTTAAATAAGATCATGAAACTTTGCATACTAACTGAACTACCATAAAGCAGTGCTTATGTTATTTACTTTTTTTTAAATATCATTATTTTCACTGTAAAAAGAAATTACCTAAACTATCGGCGCGTAAGCTTGGTTCCTGTCGCTCCGTTAGTATTGCTCCGGCTTTTGAAGGGAGAAGTTGTGAACACATTACGCAACAGGAAGACGTAAAATTAAAATGGGAAATAACCGTTATAAAAATAAGAAGCGACTGGGTTGGCGTTAAGAAACAGGCATATATATGATAAACATAATGAAATAAGTATCTAACGACCTATCTACTTAGAGTATTAGTGATTACAAACATGTGTAAATCCACCTCCACCAATATTTATTTCTACTACCCAATATTCTATAATTTTAAAAAGTAAAACAATATTCTGCTTGTAAAGAAAATGAGATGATATGAAATATATAGATTATTTTATGATATAAAAATTAAAATTTCGTTGTCAAACGTTTCGTTTTCCGTTTCGGAATGAGGATTCCCTTACTGGAAAAGAACCAACGGAAAAAACTCCCCAGGTTTTAACTTTATGAACATTTTTACAGTTAATATTGCTCAGGATATTTTATAAAATTATTAATTATGTACGTGATAGAGCCACCCAGTAGCTTTATTATAGTGAAATATATAACTATATATATAAAATATATATATATATATATAAATAGTGGCACCAATGGGTCGGCTCGATCGGGGTAGGACCACGCTGTTACAGAAAGAATATCAGCGTTAAAATTACAACTTAATGGTGGTGTGTTTCGTATGATGAGTGTAGGGAATCGTAGACCCTTTTTCAATCGAAATGAGGCATTCCATCTTAGTCCTTAGGGGTGACAACGCATCTGAAATTTCATTCCTAATCAAAAGTTGTTGTAGTTGTCTATGGGCCACAGCATCCACTCACCATCAGGTGGACTGTGTGCCCGTTTGTCATACTTCATACACAGTCTGTTCTAGTACGCTATGAAAAAGACAGGACTGAAATTAATTTAGTATTTATTTTATTGTAACGTCTCTTCCGTTTTAACATAAGTTATAAGTCAGAGCGAAAACGGTCGCTGACTTAGCTCAATCTGAATTTATGTACTTGCACATATAACAGAGCTCCCGGCTCTAGATATCCGACTAAAACTATTGAGTTAACTGTCAGCTGTCTCCAACACTACACTACAGCTTTCGCTGTACGTAATGTATGGTTAGTGTTGTCTATTTATAATATAGAAAACATCGCGTGAATAGCTATTGAATAGTCTCTACAAAATTTTCAAAAACAATTGACACTTGACTATTGAGCTAGCATAGGGAGAGAGGATTATTTAGAGCTTAAACTTTATCAGGAAGATGCAGTTGCTCATTTCAGTTCATCATCTTAATTATCATGATTTTGAAATATCCCAAGAGAATACACCAATAAAACTATATTAATAATTAACACTTTTACGCTAAACCCTTTCGCAATCTAAAATCAAATTCAGAAATCGATTAACTATAGGTACATAGTTTTTATACATTTAGTTATTACCTACAAACTTAAATTTCCAAACGAGTAGTGAATCTGGCAATTTAATTATGTACTTACTAGCTTGCCACAAATTAAAAGTTTTAAAGTAATGAAAACAATAATTAAACCTAAATAATTGCAGATATTTCAGATCAAAAAAATATTAAGTTATAAAATTACTTTATAACTTAATATTTTAACTAAATACAAAAGAATATACAATATAAAGATGATTTACCGATTATACGATCGTTGAATTTCTAAAATTAATAAAACATAATATCAAAAAATTAAGGTCAAAAATAAACTGTTAATCAATTGCAGGGAGAAACCTGTACCTTCGTTTAAAGGTAAGTTCGGACAAAACTACAACTAAATATTTTTTCAGATATCAGTAGTACTAGCAACAAGTTCGTATGTTTTGTCTTTATTCACTGTTGCGTAATAACGTTACGAAATGACGAACTCATTTCGGAACAGTACTTTTGCGAAACAACCACAATAGAATTCACATTCGCTTCGCAATAGCTAAGCGCAAGCACAAAAATGCTGTCCCAATCACCTGGAAACCTAAATAGAGTAGATAGAACGCAAGCGGCATCAGATAAGACTCGTAGCAGGTGCATAGTGTAATATTGTAAAAAAATACAAGTATCGAACATCCGTTACACCGTACAGGACGGTGCGTTGCAGTTCAACGGAGCTGAACGGGCCTGACGCAGCTCTACAGCTATGCAGTCACATACCGATTTAAACAATACTAATAATAAACAACCGCAAAATTTCGCTATAGCTTCACAAAATACTTTAACACTTCGCTCGGCGTCTATGAGGTAATGATGCAAATACAGATGTTTAGAAAGTCGCATAAATACATTCCTAAGTAGCTTAATTCCATAATATAAGCCGATTAAGACTTATAACGCATTACAGTAGTAAAATAAGCAGTTTTTAAAAAAATGTAAAAGTAAATATTATACCTGTAAAGCTGAAATCCGTTTTGGTGGTGGTACTTGTGGGGATTTGTCGACTAAGTTCTCCATGGAGTGTCGGTTGAAGAATCCTTGCTTTTGAAAAGGCGCGTTTGGTTTGTATGAGGGGCGGTTGAACTTGGTTGCGGGCGCCACAATACGATTTCCATTTTCATCATCGTCCTCCCATTCGGTGACCACCTCAGTACGAACGTCTTCTAGAGAGCGAGTACGGCTACATGGGCAGGCGACCGGGGATGTAGGATTAGGGTGACGAAGCTGCCGAGGTCGATCTCGATTAATATACGAATCCGCATAACTACCAGGAGTTGGCGCACCTGCAGATCGATAGCTGGGCGATAGAAAATAGTAATCGCGCGACTTGTTGCTGTAAGCACTCATGGCGGAGAAATCTGAATAGGTTGAGCCTTTTGACGATGACGTTTTGAAGTTCCTCGCTTCCAGGGGATCCGGAGGTCGAAAGTAAAAGTTGGGCTGCGCTTGGCGGGACATCGGCGGCCATGGCCTAAACGGCGCATCCACATAATGTGCGGGTTTCGACTTCATGTTTGCGATAGTGCATCCGAGCGCGGCGGAATCGGTTCCGTGCGGATGTAGTCGAGGAAACTACGCTACTGTTGGCGCGGACGGCAAACAGCGTGCGCCGGCCCACCACCGGCCTCACGGCGTCGACACCGCACGTTAGACAGAGATGAGAACATAGAGAAAGGCGCACACGCGTTCCACTCGATCCGTTGAATGCGAATACAAGTGAAAGGGGTGGCCCGCTCGGTCAATACTCACAGATAGCGTTTGTAAGCGGCGTAGGAGTAAATATCTCTGTCAGATGATTACCATCTACCATAAGTGTCATACTTTACTAATTTCACGGATCTATTGGAAGTACCCAATGTGCGTTAGTAGTCTAAAATTAAATTTAAGCCCCAAAAACAGGGGAAATTCACTAACTTTTAACACGACCTCATAATATCGATGAATTACACACGTTGATATGTGGTACAAACACGGTAATGATTGCAAAACAAATTAAGCCCAGTTAAATGTCTAATTTTAAATGTCAACAACTGGAAAATCGGGTTTTACGTAACGAACGACCTTTCGATTACAGTCCATCCTGAGTGCGCGAACATGCCGTGAGTTCTTGCTGCGACTTCTTAGCTTATCGATAAAGCATTAAATTCGTCATGCTGGCGAACAACTTTCGCTTCTTACTTACGCACGAGTTTGCTAAAATGAAACACGTGCCATAATAAAGTGAAACGAGTATGTTATACTAGCTATAACTTTAGTTTTATAAATGCGTATTATGCAGGCATATGAAGACGCGTAATGTATTATGACGGATAAATCTATAAATAATATACTCTGCACTCCCACATCTTTCCAAACATAACACAGGAAAATTCAAAGATTTAATAAGTAGCCTTACAAGTGACGAAAGAACTCAAGGTTGCACCATATACAGAACCTGTACTTAGCAAGATTATTCAGAAGTCATCATAATCTCTTAAGCTTCCTACGCTATGAAAAATGAATACATAATTAACATTGTAAATAGCCATGACTGCGTGGCATCATTTGTTATTAAAGATACATATATAAATTCAAACAATGTATTACATCAGTGTTAGTTTTTTTTTTATAGGATAGGGTGACAAACTAGCATACAGTCCACCTGATGGTAAGTGGTTGCTGCGGCCCATAGACATATCTACATCTATCCTCGATTTAGAATCAAAATGCAGATGCGTTGTCACACGTGAGGACTAAGATGGAATGCCTCGTTTCCAGTAAAAAGGGTCTCCGGTTCTCTACACTCATCATACGAGTGACTACTACTACTACCACTAGTTCTACTACAACTTTTAACAGTGGTAGAGCCACGCGGCAGCTTTGCTGTTGCACGTATGGGCCGGCTCAAACCGGGGTGGTACCACGACCTCACGGAATACCGGAGTGAATGGGAAGCTCTGCTTTCGCGTTTCTTCTGGTGAGTGCAGATGACCGGAGGCCCAAATCCCACCCCCCATCAACATGGTAGCGGAATTAAATGATGATAGACTACCCCAGGAGGGTACCAGCACCCCTGGAGAATCCCTCGCTGAGCATCCACGACCGTGTTTCTTCACTTCTGAGCGTGGGTGCTCAGGCTGCCCCGCGTATTCTGGGGGGGGGGGGGCGAAATTCCGCTCAAGACTACAACTGCTCGGGGCAAACGGAGCAACAAGACCAAGGCGACCCCTGCCACGCTGTCCGTAAATTTCTGCAATATTATTAGGGGAATTTCTGTCAGCCATCTCTTCCATCTCTGCATAGGGAGGACGACACACTGGCCCATACCGCAAAGGAAAAAGCTGATCTTCTAGGCTCTTTCTTTGCGTCCAACTCGACTCTCGATGACGGGGGGAGTACGCCGCCGACCATCCCGCGATGTCAGTGCTCCATGCCGGAAGTGCAGTTCACACAGCGCTCGGTTCGTAAAGCACTCCTTTTCTTGGACATCCACAAGTCGAGTGGGCCTGACGAAATCCCCCCAATTGCGCTGAGGACGTGTGACATGTGTGCTCCAGAGTTGGCACCGGTTTTAACGCGTCTTTTCCGGTACTCCTACTATCTAGGCGTAGACCCAAAATCATGGAAGACGGCTTTCGTCCACCCGATCCCTAAAAAAGGCGACCGCTCAGACCCGTCCAATTACCGGCCTATCGCCATCACCTCCTTGTTCTCCAAAACAATGGAGTCCATTGTAAACTGCCAGCTCATGAGGTACCTTGAGGATCACCAGCTGATTAGTGACCGCCAATACGGTTTTCGCCGTGGTCGGTCAGCTGGTGATCTTCTGGTCTACCTAACTCACAGATGGGCGGAGGCAGTAGAGTCCAAGGGGGAGGCATTGGCCGTTAGTTTGGACATTGCGAAAGTTTTCGATCAGGATTGGCACAAAGCGCTTCTTTCGAAACTCCCGAGAAATTGTGCGACTGGATCACCAGCTTTCTTGCAAATCGGAGCATCAAGGTCGTTGTAGACGGTGCAAGCTCCGATTGCAAGCCTATTAATGCTGGTGTTCCACAAGGCTGCGTGCTATCGCCAACGCTGTTTCTTCTGCATATCAATGATATGTTGTAAACCCGTAACATTCATTGCTATGCAGTTGGCAGCACTGGTGATGCTCTTTACACCGGCCGAGCCAATATTTCTCGGGAAAACGTCTCCGAGTGCCGGGACAAACTTGTGTCTGAAGTCGAGTCTTTGCTGAACAGTCTCGGATTGGGGGCGACTAAATCTAGTCCAGTTTAACCCCCAGAAGACACAAGTTTGCGCGTTAACCGCTAAAAAGAACCCCTTTGTCGTATCTCCTCAGTTTCAAGGCACTCCCCTTGTTGCCTCAGCCAGTATCGGAATCCTCGGCGTCGACATATCGAGTGATGTCAGTTTCGTGGTCACTTGGAAGAGAAGGCCAAATTGGCCTCTAAAAAGCTTGGCGTGCTCAGCAGAGCGGGACAGTTTTTCATGCCGGCACACCGCCTGCAACTTTACAAGGCGCAGGTTCGGCCGCACATAGAATACTGTTCCCATCTCTCGGCTGGGGCTCCCCAGTACCAGCTCCTTCCACTTGACCGCATCCAGCGCAGAGCGGCTCGAATCGTCGACGACCGAGTGCTTTCCGATCGGCTTGATTCACTGGCACTACGAAGAGATGTTGCATCTCTTTGCATTTTCTTTCGCATATACCATGGAGAGTGCTCTGAGGAATTGTTCGGATTAATCCCAGCCGCCAAATTTCGTGAACGCACTACTCGGCAAACGTGCCGATTCCATTCACACCATCTGGATGCTTTGCGGTCCACCACTGTACGTTTCAAGAGGAGTTTTCTTCCGCGTATAACCTCTCTGTTAGAATCTTCTCTCCGAATAGTTTACCACCGGCGATGTTTCCGGACCGATACGACCTGGGGACCTTCAAGAAAAGAGCTTACTCCTTTCTAAAGGGCCCGCAACGCACCTCCAATTCTCCAGGTGTTGCGGTTGATCATGGGCGGCGGTAGTCACTTAACATCAGGTGAGCCGCATGCCGTTTGCCCCCTCTTCTATTAAAAAAAACGAAACACATCAGCGTTAAGCTACTATTCTACGATGGTATTCTGTGAGAGTGTGGTCCTTCCCCGGTCGAGCCGACCCATTGGTGCTACCATTATACCACTAACATAACTCTACCACTTATGAACACTATGATACACTTAGTGTGCCCTTAACCCGAGATGTCGCAGTATTTTAAATTATATTTTATTTTTACAGTGGGAGTTTTAGAGTTGGGACTCTGAACACTTAACGCAGAAACGATTGCGAAGTAAGTTTCTTTTCTGTATGATAGGTCAGTTATAATTTATTCTATAAATACGATTATTTAGAAGTAAAAAATACAAATGTTCCAATTTTAAATTTCCATGGTTTTTACGAGTATTCTACAAATACCGGACGAATCAAATGATCGACTTTAAATAGCAATAAAGGCCCTTCTAAAGCAACCGTGTACCTCTCGAAACTAAGGGATAAATTATTCACTTCGAATATAGTATTCATATTTCGTATTTATCAGATAGGCAATAGTGACAAAGTGATTAATAATAATATATTGTTATTTTAAATAAATAATTGATATTATGACATGTACCAAGTTTTAAACGAATTTAAAAGTATAAAACCATTGTTTTCGACCATCATACAGATTTATAATGATAAAAACGCGATGTGCCAGCAACGGATAGTTGATGCACCTAAAAACTAATAAATTTATTGCACCACTATGAACTGATTATCTGTTACAAATCTGAGTTAAATTTAAACCAATTGGAAAGTGGAACGAAAGTAATTTGAAAAGGCATTATAGATAAATTCACCTAAGTTAATCACATAATCTTCAAATTTGAGACCACTAGGTATTGAATTTGATCTGGATTTTAGCTTAACATAACACCAAAAGTGTTTAGGACTTGTAGTAATTGAATTTTCTACAAAGCAGAACACAAATCCTATATAACATAGGATTGGTGTGCTACTCTATGGGCCAAATATCTATTTACCATCAGGTACCATCCCGTTGTACGACCGTCGCTTAGTTTCTACAATTAAGACTAACAGACGGAGCGTTGACGACCTACTAGTAGCGTAAAATTAATCCAAAAACGCCGTACCAAGTACAACAGAATGCTAGTGGGAGGAAAATTAACCCAGATAAGCCTACTGTCCTATATTTAGGACAGTAGAAATAAAAAAAAATATCAGAATACCCTCTTTATCTAAGATTATTTAGTCTTATGATTTGCAGTAAGAAACGTGTCAGCTTTATTAGAAAAAATAAAAAGACAGTTATTTTAACAGTTTTTACCTTATATTTTACCTTATAAGTGTGTAATAAAAGTGCGTTGCAGACATGGCAAATGACAGGTATGTATAAAAAGTTATATTTTACTCGTGAGTTGTTTTTTTCTGTGTTAATATCTAGTTGATAACCTTAACTTTTGTACTAAATAAATATTCTAGCAATA